AAGAAGAAGAAGAAGAAGAAGAAGAAGAAGAAGAAGAAGAAGAAGAAACAACGCCCACCCAGTCACATGGCCATGGCTACCTAGCCACGCCTACCTAGCCATGCCTGCAGAACCGGTTGTTAAAAAGTTTGAATTCCACCCTTGCCAAGCTGCAATAGTTCCCAGCATGAAAAGTGGTCAGGCTGTATCTCTTTCTATGCGGTTGTTCAAAGACCAGGAATTAGTCTGATAAAAGTTGGTAACAATCCTGATCCAATACTGCAGATATGATTGAATGCACAGATCCACGAAATTAAATACTTAGCAGAGAGATCTGCAACTTTCACTTTGCCCCACATGAAAAAAAAGTCTATATTCATTCATAAAGAAATGTGAAAAAAGAATTCAATGAAAATGTTACCCATCTCTAATCTGAGCCTAGTCATTCCATGTACAGAACATTTCCCAGCATGAAACAATATACCAGTTCCATTCCATTGCATTGTTAAATATTAATAATAAAATTATAGTCAAAATCTTACCATTCCTTTTCCACAGGAAAGGCATGAATAAAATAAGAATAAGCACCTATACACAGTGCTTCTTAAAGCTCCCTTCCGCACTGAAAACTGTTTTAATTAATGCTCTTGCAAGAATATTTAGAGTATTTGTCATTGATGCTCAACATCTCTTCTTTATAGGGTCCTCTTGGTATACCTGGTTCATCAGGTTTTCCTGGCATACCTGGCATGAAGGTAAGTGTTTTTTTTTTGACTTTATTAATCAGTGATGGAATGTAGAGTTAGATGGTAGCCCTTGGTCAGCCTTGGCTCAACAACCATTCTCAAATGGACTTACTTAGTACTTGAATAGAAAATCAACAGGAAATTCAGACTAGGTAGAGACTTCTAAAAACTTGCAAAAGTTGATGATACATATTTTCAATAGTGCTGCTAAGAAAGATACATATGTCCATATAGTATGGATAGCAGGAACAGAGCTCAACTTGTAGGATACTTCATTTTCATACAACTGGTAAAGAAGCCAGTTTGGGGTAGTGATTACAAAGTAGGAGATTGTGAATTCTAACCCCATTTTAGATGCAAAGCCAGCCACTCTCTCTCAGCCCTGGGAAATAGGCAAGGGGAAACACTTCTGAAATCTTATCATGAAAACTGCAGGTACTTGTCCAGGCAGTCCCAAGGAGTCAACACTGACTCGAAGGGGTGCACACATACATGGACACATACCATAGTGGGAATGGCAGTAGGAAATAAGATTGCTCATAATGAAAGCCTCTTAATTTAGAAATTATTTCTCTGATGTTATGAACTGTTCCACTGATTAATTGTTCTGTCAGGAAATTCCTCCTTAGTTTTAGGTTGGATCTTCTCTTGATTAGTCTCCATCTATTGCTTCTTGTCCTATTTTCAGTTGCCTTGGAGAATACATTGACCTTTCATCTTTGTGGCAGCCCCTCAGATATTGGAATACTGCTATGTTACCCTTAGTCCTTCTTTTCATCAAACTAGACAGATCCAATTTCTGCAACCATGAACTGTTAACAGAATAGCAGAGTTGGAAGAGACCTTGGAGGTCTTCTAGCCCAATACCCTGCTCAGGCAGGAAGCCATATACCATTTCAGACAAATGGTTGTCCAATCTTTTCTTTAAAACTTCAAGTGTTGAAGCATTCACAACTTCTTCAGGCAAGTCATTCCACTGATTAATTGTTCTAATTGTCATGAAATTTCTCCTTAGTTCTAGTTGCTTCTCTCCTTGATTAGTTTCCATCCACTGCTTCTTGACCTGCCTTCAGGTGCTTTGGAGAATAGCTTGACTCCTTCTTCTTTGTGGCAACCCCTTAGATACTGGAACATTGCTATCACGTTACCCCTAGTCCTTTTTTTCATTAAGCTAGACATGAAAGGAAAGGACTAGGGGTGATATGATAGCAGTTTATCACATTCTGATTTTGGAAAAGAGGAATAAACTCTATCAGGGATCCCAATTTTAGGGACATGTACTCACTAGAAATGAATGAGTTGATAGAACCTTTAGTTAATTTATTTCTCATGTTCTAGGTCTAGATGGACTCTTATGCTTGCTAGGATTTTGAATGGTTTGGGGAAGAGTCAACATTATAGAAAGACCACACATTCTGCTTTATTACTAAAACTATAGATTCAAACAAGGGTTTAGTACTAGTTCCTAAAACTTGGCTTGTACAGGACTGATTAAGCCTGAATTCAGACAAAATGCTGTTTGCTCAGCATTTATTTTTTGTCCTCAAATGACCAAATGACCTATCACAATTGTAGATTTTTTTCACTAGCAAGAGGAGAAGCCAAGTAGGAGATATTAGTATGCTGAAAACAGTGTTGCTTTGTGAGAATATTGCCCTAAAGTCCCTCCTAAAAGAACTCTGCAAAAAAGTTTGTTAGCCAAGTATTCTGTTGCAGCTCCAGATGTGGTTGGATGTAATTTGAAATGGGAGATGGGCGTGAACGAAGGACAAGCAAGTATATCACATGTACATCCAGTTATGAAGTGAAGAGGCCTGTTTCTGAGATAATCACGTAGAGATAATCAGTTAGATGAAATAAACTTAACTTTACTTCCCAATATATCCTTTTAAAATTATTATTTTTTTACTATTGTGAGTGTGATGTTACTTATTTGAACAGATCTGGTTGCAACATCCTTTAGGAAGCTGAAACAGCTGGAAATGCAATCTATTTAAATGGACGTTGGCAGTGCTCTTTGGATTCGGTGCACGGAATAATAAACAGCAGAAAAGCTGAGAACAGCCAGAATTTATTACTTATTTATATGGTGTCATTGACTGTCTTCTTCTCATGCAGTCATAATGCCTCTCCTCCCAGCTGCAATGCCTAAACAAAATTGAGGAGAGGTTATTTAGTGTAAAGAATTGGAATAGAAAAAATGTTTCATGTCTTTGACACTGGAAGACCTTCCATGGGTTGGCACTGCAGTTCCCAAAATCTCCAACCAGGGGTGCTGCTAGCTGGGAATTATTGGCTTCACTCATCTGAAAGTGCAGGTTGGGAAAAACTGCCCTAAATAATTTGTCTTATTTAACAGTCTTCTTTAGCTGCCCTTGAATACCAGTAGCTGAGTATTCTTTATTCCTCTAGATGGGATGTTTGCGTGTGAGAGAGTGAAGTTAGGGTAGCTGCCTGTGTTTTCCGAAGTAATTTTCCCCCTATGATTGGGGAAGGTGTGTACTGTAGTAAAGTACAGGTAGTCCTCAACTTACAACAGTTCATTTAGTGACCATTCAAAGTTACAACAGCATTGAAAAAAGTGACTTACGACTGTTTTTCACACTTATGACCATTGCAGCATCCTCATGGTCACCTGATCAAAATTCAGATGTTTGGCAACTGGTTCACATTTATGATAGTTTCATTGTCCCAGGGCCATGTGATCACCTTTTGCAACCTTCTAATAAGCAAAGTCAATGGGGAAGCCAGTTTCACTTAATAACCACGTTACTAACTGAACAACTGCAGTGATTCCTTTAACAAGTGCGGCAAGAAAAGTCATAAAATATGATGTAGCTCACTTAATAAATATCTCACTTAACAACAGAAATTTTGGGCTCAATTGTGGAGCCTCACATTGAGCATAACCAACATTTGTGATAGAAAAGGCAACCTGGCCATTATTTAGACTACTGTTTCTCAAACTCAAAAATTTTAAGACATGTGGGCCTCAACTCTCAGAATTTGGGAGTGCTGACGGGGATTCTGGAAGTTGAAGTCCACATATCTTAAATTTGACAAGGCTGAGAAGCCCTAATTTAGGCCAAGGCAGCAGTATACAGCTGAGGTCCCTCCATTAGACCCTGCAAACCTTATTGATTTTGAAAACCTAAGCAAAGTCAGCTCTTGTTAGAAACAGATAGGGAGAATGTAAGAAAATTTCAGGGCTATAGACCGAACTAGGAAGTTTTTTTTAAAAAAAGGAAGGAAGGAAATGTAAACCATTTTTGTATTCTTACCAAGGAAACAATGAGTTCATGGAGTCACCAAAAGTTGAGCTTGAGCTGGAGGGGAGACTAGCATTTATGCTGTAATGTATGTTCCCTGACAACGTACAATGAGAAATGAGAGTATAGACATAACTTCTCTCAGATTGTGTATTGCACTATTTATGACTATTAAACAAGTCTTAGGGGGTGTCTTAAAACAGGCTGGTAGATGAGCTGAGGAGTAACTTTTGTTTCATTCTTCTTTGCTGTCTCTGAGAATTTTTCAGGGCTAAATTTCTGAGATGCAATCTGGCAATTGTAATAGGATTTGGTCAGTTATATCACATAGTTAAAGTTCTTGGATTTGCTTCTTCTAGACATTCCTTATCTCTGATATTTGAAGGAAAGAAGTACAAATGTATTATTGTGGCATACTGTAATAATGGTTGTTGGATTGAAGTTTTCTGTGCCTTGAAATGATGAAATCCTATGTAACATTGCAAGCATTAGTTAACCATGGTCTTGGAGAGAAAGGATAAAACGAATTGGTCCAACAGATGCTCTATGTATTTATAGTTGGCAATTTTCACTGAACGAGAACTTAATTGCCAATGCTGTAATTCAGTGGATCAAATAATTTCTCTAAACATGTATAATAAAGTAAGGCCAAAATTGAACAAATGTCTAAAGGAAATGCACGACTTTCCTGTTTTTTTTTTAAATTGGAGGCAAGTCCCTTTGTTTTATAGATTAATAGAATGATACTACATTATATTAACAATCACCACAAACATCCATAATATCCTATCTCCATTATTCCAATTCATTTATTAATTGCATGGGATTAACATGATTTGTATATGAATACAGTAGATAGAGCATATGAGCTTTACATGGTTCCCAGTCTCATTTTTGTAGCTCTAGGAATCTTCCAATATCATTGTGCCAAAATTTTATGGTAAAACACCGAATAACAAGAGCAGTTTTATATGTTTTTAGTCAAACAATGTCTAATTAGAATGTCTCCTGTGTGGTTCACATACCTATTTTAATTAGACAAATTACTATGCAAAGGTCATTCTTTAAAAAAAGCTATCAGTTATATCTCAGCTTCCTTCCTCCCTCCCTCCCTCCTTCCCTTGTGATTATGGTGTCACATACCCACAGCTCCCTGTAGTCTTTAGAAGCCAAAAAAGAAAAAAAAAAGAATGTAAAGTGATGATGAGGAGGAGGATGAGATGAGGAAGAGGAGGTTGCAGCACTAGCAACCATTTCTAGCCATAAAATAGTTGTTTATTACACTAATTTCACCATTAAGCATTATTTATCTCATAGTATAAGTCCACGTATAAGTACTTGAGTCCACTTTTTCCAAAGTCACATGATTTTATAAAACAATAGCACAAAACAGTTCAACAGAAAATGAAAAATAATCTCAGTGGTTTTTTTTTTCAAATCCCACCTAAGATGGTGACTTTGGAGTTGTGAGCCTGAATGGATTTTGATCAGATCATGTAATGGGGCTGAAAACACTTTATTTCTGTGCTAAAGGACAAAATTAGAGCCCACAATTCCTTATATAAAACCCAGATAGATTTAATACTGCATTAGCACAATGGTAAAATTATATACCACACTTAGACTAGCTTAGGCAATTCAGATAACTATGAGGAACAGCTAGAAGGTAGAATTCTATTGCATTATATCAATTTTAACTCTAAATAAGCACTTCTTTAAAAAAAGCACCTTCAGTTAATGAGAGGCTTAATGGTTAATATTAATATTGCATTTTCTATTTTCTTTTTTAATGTGAAACTTCAGGGTGAAGCTGGTCCTACAGGTGCACGTGGTCCAGAAGGTCCTCAAGGACCAAGAGGAGAAACGGGTGCCCCAGGTCCCCCAGGATTATTTGGTCTTCCTGTAAGTTTTTCAAACTGTCATAAATTACGTTTGGAGCTATTCATCCCTGACTGGCTGCTAGGCATCATTCATAAATGTACAGAGATAGAAGTATAGTATACACATGGAAAAATGTGTGTATTGTCTCCACAAAAAAGAATATGGAGAATGATTCATACAAAGCCTGAAATGGATTGCAAAAAAAGTTAAAGATGGTTGTAATCACATAAACAGAAGCACAGGTAATAAAAGAAATCACTTAGCATGTCCTAGTTTTTGATATAACAGGGGATATCATCTTCTGTGTCTAGTCACATTGCCACAGGATAGTAGAAAAGGCTTAAAAGTAAAAACTACTTTTGCAATATGTAGCTTAAAGCAGTGTTACAATAATTTATTTGCTTAGGATAGTCAGATATTTATTTATTTATTTGTTTGTTTGTTTGATTTATATTGCCGCGTATTCGCCCATGGCGACTCAAGGCGGCTTACACAATGTAAAATCATATTTGAAACAAAAAATAAAAATAAAAACAATAAGAACTAACAAAAAGAATCAAATAAATTAGTAAAGTACAAAAGAACAAAATTTGGGAAAACAAAAAACAAAACAAAACAAAAAAACAACTCCCCAACCCCACCCCGACAACAGTGGGTCACACTAGCCACCAGATGGGTTCCATCCCTCTCTGGGTTCCCCAGGCCTGCTGGCAAAACCAGGTCTTCAGTGCCTTTCGGAATAGTATTAACGAGGGGGGCATTCTAATCTCTGGGGGAATGATGTTCCAGAGAAATGGAGCCACCACAGAGAAGGCCCTTTTTCTAGGTCCCATCAGGTGTATCTCCCTCAGGGGTGGGACCCGTAGCATTCCCTGCCTCCTTGCTCTATTGCAGATATACGTGCATTAGCTGAAAATTTATACATCAGCCAATATGCATTTTCTTTGTATCTTTCCATACTATATACTTTCCATATGGATGCATTTTTATATGGTTTATTTTCTTCTTGGGACTAAATCACATATTCTGGAGAAGTTAGGGAATCTGAAGGATACGTTTTCTGATCCAAATTGCTGTGCACGCAAGTATGAAATAGGTCAGTTTGTTTAAAAATGTAGACCAGATGAAAATTTCTGACGTTCTTTCACCTTGTAAGAATTGCGTAAAACTTATAGTTTTTCAAAGAACTGTAAGAGTTCCCCAGAATAGGCAAGTTCCAAAAACCTGAAACTGTTTGCATTTAAGTTGTGAGGCATCTTAAGACATTAAGACATCTAGATATTTAAAAACACTTATTTTACAAGTAGTCCTTGCTTACTGACAGGTTGCTTAGCAATCATTTGAAGTTACAATGGATCTCAAAGAATGTATTTGTGGCCTTCATTAATTCTGATCCCCACCTTGCATTTTGGACATTCAGTAACCTGCCTACATTTAGAGATGTTTGCGGCATCCTATGGTCAGATGTTCATAGTTTACTTCTTTTTTTTTTTTGCTAGATACTGTCAATTGCTTCCATTTCCCAACAAAGAACACCTATTGTGTTTTCTTTACAGTCATAAAATGTCATAAAATAATATTGGTCACATGATGGCCCAGTTAATTAAGCCTGAATAACTGAAGCTAGTTCAGAATCTTAAGATTCTTGATATTTTTAGTTCATGATTTTAGAGTAGTTGCCTATGGAAATCAAAGGACAGATGTTGACAAAATTCTAGACTGTGACCAACTGGAATTGATATTAAACAGCTGCCTCCAATCTATATTTTTCAGAAATTAAATCACTTGGTATTTAAGAAATTGACATTTGCATGTAATATTTCAGTCAAATTGGTACATAGAAATGGCCATGTTTGATGAAATTACAATAATATGATGAAATTAATCTGAATTAATTAATTAACTACATATCTGTTTTGTGCTATTTTAGGGTGCTTTAGGTACGGATGGTTCCCCAGGAACAAAAGGGCCTTCAGTAAGTAACTGAAAGAGCAAATACTCTTTTTGAGACTTTATATTCCATTCCATGGACACTGTTGACCACATCAATATATCTCACAGGGATCTCCAGGAATTTCAGGGCCACATGGCTTACCAGGTCCACCTGGTTCTCCAGGACCACAAGGCAGCACAGGTCCTTCTGGCATTCGAGGACAAATGGTAATGATTTGAAAAATCAGAAATGGTAAAAATTTGCATTTAATGCATATTTATTTATTTGGGGTTTTATACCCCATCATAATCCTGACAGTCAACAAGATTGAAGCACCCATGGTAATAATGCATTAAAACTGTGGTAATTGTACAAAAAATAGGTAACAATACTGAGACTACTGGATCAATGTGTCTCAAAGGTTTATTTTCCAAAAGGCAACTGAATTTCCTTGGTTTTTTTAAAAAAAATGTTTCACTTTTCATCCCAGAAGCTTCTTCATGGGGAACTGAAGAAGCTTCTTGGATATGAAGCAAAACATTTTCAAAAAATCAATAAAGTCCAGGTGCCTTTTGGAAAACAACCACTGGGACAACTGTGACCTGGATGACTGAGAATCTCCATAGACTACTAGAACAATAAAGTGTGTAGTACTGGTATTATATAGCTATAAAACCGTGATGGTGAACCTATGTGGAATGCAGAGTCCTCTCTGTGGGCACTTGGGCTGGCCATCTGGTCTTTGTGGGCATTGGAGCGCCAGAAAATGGCCTGAAAAACGGTCTGAAAACAGTCCAGAAAATGGCCTGAAAATGGCCAAAAACATTTCAGGCCATTTTCAGGCCATTCTTTGCGTTGTTTTGGGGCCATTTTGGGGAGGCATTTTCAGGCTGTTTTCCACCAAAGCGGCCCCCCAAATGGTCTGAAAATGCCCCCCCAAACAGCCTGAAAACAGCCCAAAAATGGACAAAAAGCAGGCATGCATGTACTGGGCAGTTAGTCTTCGGGTTTCCAGCACTCTTGCACATTCCGTTTTGGGCACTGCTATAGAAGCTTTCATTTGTTAAGTAACAGAGGTGTCAAACTTGTGGCCTGTGGACTGGATGCATCATGTGCTGGCCATGTCTGCTCCCAGATTACCAAAGGAGAAAAAATTATGCATCATGTGACAACAATGTGTTGTTGTGAGTTTGACACCACTGATCTAAGAGCAGCTGCTCACAAAGGGAAAAACTCTTTTTCTGGAACAAATGTCAGTTCTCTGTTGACTTGCTAGCTTGTTTATTATTTATGTTTTGATTTATGTTCCATCTTCCTGCAAATGGGGCCCTCAAGAGAGTTAGCAATCTAAACTGAATTCTTGTTAACAGTAACAGAGTTAACTTTAAGAATAACAGACTAAGAATAGATCTATTTATTAGAACAATCACATGACTTGGGGGAATATTTTCTATAAATTGCAAGGCACCAGGTACTCATGAGACTGAGGTTGGAAATTTGAAGCAAATTTAAAGGAGCTTCTTCTGTAGATAGTAGTGACTGAGCAATTTGATACTGAGATGAGCAAAGTGTTTTGAAGTGTTTTGTGTTTTGAATATGAAACCAACATTTTAAACTTTTAGGAATTGCAGACAATAATCCATGTCTTCTTTATTTACATGGAACAAGACTGACATATCTGCATATGATTATAATATTATTGAACAGATGATGTGGATTATATTATACTATGGTCTGTACTGCTGAAGAAACCATGAATTTGGCCTATATTAATACATAGACATGGAATCATAAAAGTTGTTATACTTTCTGTCACTTTGAATAATTCAGATCATTATTCTAATGGTGATACTTGCTTTCAGGGAGATCCTGGTGTTCCAGGTTTCAAAGGAGAAGCTGGCCCCAAAGGAGAGCCAGTAAGTTTTCAAAATATAATCTCTAGAAACCATCTTTAAAATGTTCCTTTATAAAATAACGTGCATATTTTTCTGTGACTCAGTTCTGTCCTTAATGTATCACAAACTGTATGGTTGTTTTTTTTCATTATCAATTATTCATTAATACTTATTAGAGCTTTACTTTTCTCCAGAACCTTAGGGTGACAAAAAAGCAGTCCATTCTCCCATTTTTTCTGCATCTTATGAGATAGTTTGAGCAGTGGGATAGTGGGAGATGGAGGGATAGTTCAAAATTCTCTAGTAATTTTCTATGCCTGAAGCTGGATTTTAATCTGAATCTCCCTGATCTTAGTTGCAAACTTTAAATATTAATTGTGCTGTCTCATTGACTTCTTCATATTGCAAAGGAATACCATTTTTCATTTTAAGTAAATAAATATGAAACTTGGCTTAAAGTTTCCTTTTCTTTTAAATATTTATTTGATTTAAAGGGGTGATTTGGAAATTTTTTTTAAAAAACCCACAAAAATAATTCTCCCTTTCTTGGGAAAATAATTGATAATGTAACAAAGGAGTGATCCTAATTTCCCACTTTCAGTGCAATCAAAAAGTCTTTGTAACAATTTTTAAAGGTCATGTCCACATGACATCATTGCTTTCTCATCTGTCAAGGTGACCTAAGGTTGTTAGCATCAATTTTTTTATATCCATGCCTCAAATCTATTTCATAAATATCAACAATATTAGAAAATCCATATTCACCTAATAAACTCTTCCTTGATTATTTCAAATCACTATTCACAATTCCATCATTCAATTATTATTCCAAAACTAATTGCAGAATTAATTTCTCTTAGTGCAATTGGCCAGTGTTCTAGAATAAATAACTTATATTTTGGAATATACACAAGCAAAAAAGCATTTAAAAGAATGTTTGCAGAAATGATATATTTTTCAAAACCTTTTTCAATAAATATAATTGGATTTGAAATGGGGCATCTGTATTTGTCTTGTGTCAATGGCAGCATGGTTGAATGGTGGTTTTGTACATTTTCTTTATAAGTGCAAATGTTTTTCACTAGGGTCCCCATGGCCCCCAAGGACCAATTGGACCTGTTGGTGAAGAAGGGAAAAGAGGTCCTCGTGGTGATCCAGGATCAGTTGGTGTCCCTGGATCTGTTGGAGAAAGGGTAAGAATAATAAGGAAAAAAATCTCAGTAGTTTAATGGTGAGTTATTTTGGGAATAGCTCTGTTTAGTTTTGCGTTGAAAGTAGAATATCCAAAAGATTTCCAACTATGGTAGCAAAATTATGGTTTGGATCTTGACTTTGACCCTTCAAAGGAAAGTGTGCTAGATTTCTAACTCAGTTTGTTGCTTTGTAGGAAAATCTTATCAGATTTTTCGAAAGGCATATATGGCTTCATTTTTCCTCACAGGGAAAAAGAAAGTTTTTGAATAATTTGGATCCAATTAGCAACTTTCTCCAATAATAGTCCAAAATCTGTTACTAAGAGTCGCTAATATCTGAACTAATAGGATCTGAACTAATAGAATCTGAGCAACGGTGGCATAATGGTTAGATTGCAGTACTGCAGGCTACGTCTGCTGACTGCCATCTGCCTGCAGTTTGGCAGTTTGAATCTCACCAGTTTCAAGGTTTACTCAGCCTTCCATCCTTCTGAGGTGGGTAAAATGAGGACCCAGATTGTTGGGGGCAATATGCTGACTCTGTAGAACTGCTTAGAGAGGGCTGTAAAGCACTGTGAAGTGGTATGTAAGTCTAAGTGCTATTACTAATTCCTATCTGAACTTCCTAGAGTGATCCAACTGAGTTTTTTATAATGAAAAAAAATGTATATAAAGTTCAGAACAGCAAAACAATTTTAAAAAATGGACATATAGGACATTTGGTCCAGTGTAGTCATGTCATATAATTATTGTAAAAAAAATCTAAAATGTACCCATATCCATAAATATCACCTGGCAAAATGTCATTTTGTTTGAGAATTACAGAGAGAAATTCCTTCTTAGCTTTTAATTGGAGGAAGAAGGTCGTTTTAGCAATGTGGTTGTTTTCCATTATTTAAATAAGTGACGGGGTTGATTTCTAAAAACCTCCATGGCAAGCATTCACTTTTATAATTTGTTTGGTTTGTTTGCATTTTTATTTATAGTATAGGTTTTTTTATTGACTAGAATAAAAAATGTTGTGAAAAATTGTATCATATGGTCATTATCATTATTATAACTATCAGATTTCTGCATATCTTATGATGATGATGTTGATGATAAGAATAAAAATAAGAATAAGAATAATATTCCTAGCGTTATTCCCACAAGAGCAGGATCCATTTTTCGGATTGACAAAATGCCATCTTGCATTATCAAATCATTATCTGGGACATGTCTGCATTTTGACGGAGATGGCTATATTGTATATTACAACCACTGATTACCACAAAAAATTGACCCACTGGCTTGTTGCCTGGGTCTGGTGTCAGTTTGGTCTGTGTTCAGCTCAGCAATGCCTTGGCAGGTGGGCAGTGTCCAGCAGCAGCACTAGGAGGAATATGCCTTACCACCATGCTATATATTTAAATATATTTGTTTATACATATTATTATAGCCATTTATGGATAATGATCCTGGATAAACTTAGATTTCACTAAGGAGTGGGCTCATCAGCACTTCCTAGATTCAGAGGGGTCTATTGGATATTGGTAATCCTTTGGCATTTTTTATTCTTTGAATGTTTTTCCCCCAAATACAATGTATTTTAGCAATAGCAAGAGTACTTAACGTTATATACTACATTATAGTGCTTTACAGCCCTCTCTAAGCAGTTTACAGAGTCAACATATTGCCCCCAACAATCTGGGTCCGACCTCAGAAGGCTGGAAGACTGAATCAAACTTGAGCCTAGTGAGATTTGAAATGCTAAATTGCAGGCAGCCGGCAGTCAGCAGAAGTAGCCTGCAGTACTGCACTCTAACCACTGTGCCACCACAGCTTTTTTTAAAACAGTATTTTAAACATAAAAGGAAGCTTAAATGTCACAAGCATGGATCATACATGTCATTCCATTTTAAAAAAAAGTTTTTGTTTCCATAGGGTCCTCCTGGTAACCGTGGCTTTCCGGGATCTGATGGTTTGCCAGGACCAAAGGTGAGTTAATAGGAATGTAAGGATTATTAAGATATTTTTTGATAGGACGTATATTCTAGAAATGTAATAGGATACAAAATAGTGCATCTTGCAAGGAATTTAATGTCATACCCTATTTTCTCTTTTCAGAAAGTTTCCATTAACACACACACACACACACACACACACACACACACACTCCCAGGGGTACCTCATCTGGTAGAAAGATGTTGCCATTGATGATTTAAGAGAGGCAATTTTGAATTTAGAAATTAGCCAAGAAACCCCATCTGTTTATTTGCTTTTAATTGAACTTGCTTCCTTGATGCATGTTTCTTAACAAAATAGCCTGAAATAACTTGTTCTGTAAGAGCTGTCATTGGGTAGCTCAGAAATCATTTGAAAATAAAACCCAAATACCCATGAAATCACCTCCATCCCAACACATACACTTCTAATTATACCTGCAATGCCACAGAGTGATCTTGCTTTTGATTTCCTTTTCAGGGAGCTCAAGGGGAACGTGGTCCTGCGGGGGCTTCAGGCCCTAAAGGAAGCCAAGGGGATCCTGGTCGCATGGGTGAACCCGGTCTCCCAGGTGCCAGGGTAAAGAAAGAATAATAATCCTACTCTACATCCAGAATGAACATGTCTAAGAAATGAAGATGACTATTCAGATCCACAAGTCTCGGCTAATTTATGGGAGTGCACTGTATAAATATTAATATCATTTAGGTCAAAAGGAATGCAGGATTGTAGATGTCAGATACTGTAAAATAGTATGAATTTGGATAGCTTGTTCTTATGAATATGTGTAATTTTTGGATGAAAATGATAACCGAGTGCCAGAAATAGCATTGTTTTGTATGCTATTTTTACAGGGTCTGACAGGGAATCCAGGAGTCTCAGGTCCAGAAGGAAAACTTGGTCCTTTGGTAAGTAAATTGAGACATTTGTGAGAGAATTTAGTTGATTTGTGTCTAAATCTATTTGTTTAAAAAGGCAAAGTAATTGAGTGGGATCCTGGTTCTTGATATCCTTATTCTTGCTTTCCTTCTGTATCCTTCTCAATGATACTTTAGAAAGAAATTCTCATGAGGATAGGAAGAAACCGGGAACTTTTTATCTGAGAACCCAACCTGGGGAAGGAGGACATAGGAGTGTTTTTTTTTAAAGGCATCAAGCTAGAAATTAGGAATCCCCAAATTCTAGTCTTGCCTTGGGCATGGAAGCCAATCAGGTGACTTTGGCAGGGTAAACCACTTGCAGAAAACTGCAGGGAATCATTAGGATTCAAGATTCACTGGAAAGTAAAAACTAAACTAAACAACACCCCAACCTTTAGTTGAAGAATTGTTTATATGGAACATTTTAAAAGTTAAATCTTCTTTAATAGTTTCTTCAGATATAAATTTGCTAAACTGAGGTTAACTGTAGCTTAATGTACACTAATTAACATTTAGTTTTAGTTACATTAACATTAGAATAGAATAGAATTCTTTATTGGCCAAGTGTGATTGGACACACAAGGAATTTGTCTTGGTGCAAATGCTCTCAAGTGTACATTAAATGTTAATGTAACTAATTAACATTTAGCTTAAAATGCCAAAGATTGAACTGTAATATCATTAGCTACGGGAGCAAGTAAAACCTAGAGAGAGCCAAATTCAGAGATTTGGTATCTTTGAATACCAGAGGCAAACCACGAGAGTATTGTCAGAATAACAAAGAGTGAGCAGCTCTGAATTTAAACTCCCCAATTCCTTTTGTCTTTTCACTTTTTATTGTTTTTTTTAATGCACACATTCAGACAAATGACAAGTGGAAACTATTAATCCAGGGCCGTGAACATCAGATTTCCAAAAGTTATTTCCTTCAGTCCCCTTCCCTGTTTCAGATGCATGCACACCCGACTTGAAAAGGTTCTCTGGATTTCTGATTCTGTTACACCAGTAGCGTGATTCATCGTATTTCATGATGCCAACAGTTTGAGTGGTTTACTAATGTTGATGTCATCTGTGTAACTGAAACTTTAAATTATAAACAGGTAGTCCTTGACTTACAACAATTCATTTAGTGACTGTTTGAAGTTACAACGGTGCTGAAAAAAGGGACTTACGACTGTTTTTCACACTTACAACTTTACAACAACCCTGTAGTCAAGCGATCAAAATTCAGATACTAGGCAACTGGCTCATATTTATAGTAGTTGCAGCATCCTCGGGTTATGTGATCCCCTTTTGCGACTTTGTGACAAGCAAAGTTAATGAGGAAACCAGATTCACTTAGCAGCCATATTACTAAATTAACAACTGCAGTGATTCGCTTATCAATTCTGACAAGAAAAGTCTTAACGTGAGGCAAAACTCACTTAACAAAAGTTTCACTTAACCACATAAATTTTGGGCTCAATTGTGGTCGTAAGTTGAGGATTACCTATATATTAAGTGTGAGTTGATTTCGATCAGGAAATACTATAAATAATTAATCAGTATTAGAACAATGATATCGATATAGGAATAGGAACAGTAATTTACTGTGAATACTTTTTATCCTTTTTGTAGTTCTGGGAAGGTTTTAAGATTATAGAGTATTATTAGAATGAAAACACATGCTGTCAGCAGGGTGGGATTCTACTGGTTTGGACTGTTGTTATGAATCTGTGCAGTTCAGAGAACCAGCAAATCGTGCCCCCTCCCCACCTCCCCTTCCCAGTCAGTCCTTATCACTCATGCGCAACATTGCGCCCATGCCCAACATTACCGACTGCGTTCTTCCCCGCCCAGTCACTCCTTAAGGTATTTCTTTTTTTCCCCCTCCCAACAATCAGCTGTTCCTATGATCAGCTGTGCCGGGATTCCCCTTGCTTACTTACTGCTTCACCCAGGAGGCTCCCCTGAGGGCCAGGAAGGCCAAAAATAGAGGGGGGGCCAGCTTCCCCTGCCCCATCCATTTTTTGCCTTCCTGGGCCCCAGGGAAGCTTCCTGGGAGCAAAAATTCCACCCCCAGGAGGCTCCCCTGAGGCCCAGGAGGTCCCAAAATGGAGTTCAGGGGGTGCTGTATACCTCCGCTATGCTCTGTTTTTTCCTTCCTAGGCCTCAGGGAAGCCTTCTCGGAGCAAAAATGCTCCCCAGAAGGCTTCCCTGAGGCTAAGAAGGGGGAGAGATTTGCTGCCAAAAAAGCAATGTTCACCCAGTCACATGACCACACCCACCTAGCCCACTGAACCAGTTTTTACAAAATTTGAATCCCACCCCTGGCTGTCGGTTTACATAAATGACATGGTATGTAGAGTTGGAATTATTCAAAGGGCTCTTCCTCGCCTTATCTTTATTTTTCCCAAAATGGAGGGAATGGAGCTGTGTAATTAGTCTTTTATTCATATAACCTATAATCAAAATTAATAGCATTTGTGGTTATTATATCCCGGTATGTTTTGCAGCCATGGGCTAACAAACATTTGAAATGCTAAAACAAACTAACCATTTTGTGATACATGCTTCTACCTTTCCAATTTAATTTTCCAAAAGATGCCACATTGATTTGTTTGCATCCTGCATTGATGATTCTGCAACTAGTTTTACACACAAACACAAATACACTCGCACAAGATTAAATGTTTGATGTTCCCTTAGGGTGCTCCAGGAGAAGATGGTCGGCCAGGTCCTGCAGGTCCAATTGGAATTAGAGGCCAGCCAGGCAGCATGGGTCTTCCTGGACCAAAAGGGAGCAGTGTAAGTATTGTGCTTCAGAGGTTCACCATATTTACAAAATTGTGTAATATTATTAATAATATATTAATAATATATTTAAATAGGGGGATCCTGGAAAACCCGGGGAAGCGGGAAATGCTGGTGTCTCGGGGCAGAGGGTAAGTATAATTTTATTTTTTGTTAGAAAGTTCTAAACCATAGCATTTATAGTGCATGAGTTTATACATATACATGTCACCTTAATCAACTTTATTTATTATACCATTTTAGGGGGCACCTGGTAAAGATGGTGAAGTTGGCCCCGCTGGTCCTGTTGGGCCCCATGTAAGTTCCATCTGAATATTTTTGGTGCAAAAAAATATTATTCAAAATTAATGTTTTTGAATGGCACTGATATTCCAACAGAATAAGAATCCTGTATATTCTGTAGATTCTTATAAATGCATGATCATTTATTTGGTAAATTCATTTTTAAAGGCATGATGTGGTAGACAACTATTGGAGGGTAACACACATTGCTGAAATACAAAGGCAGAATATTTGCTAATCAGTTCTTTTGTCAACAAATCTTTACTTAATCCATATCAATTGCCACATATGTTATAGCATACCGATTTTTAAAATGTTAAAAGGGAACATCCCCGCCCCTTCACTGAAATATTGAAACCTAGGGCGTCGATCCTGGCAACCCAGATGTTTTATTTTATTTGTTCTATGAACTGCTGATGCATAAAAAAATGGATTTAGAGAAAAGGAAAACCATTCCTAATCACTTGTCACAACAACCAAATATCATATAAATTCAAAGGGGAAACTGTCTGAATAAATAAAGCAGTAAGCCAAATTAACTGTTTAACTATGTGAATATTAGCAGCTTGTTTTATCAGCCAAATTGCAGTAAGTTTGGGGGAGCAATAACAAAAGAACAATATCTTCCTATGATTGCATCAAGATATTGAAACATGTATGATTAAGCTGTCATGGTAGTACCATGTGAAATCATTTTAAAAATATTTGTTTTTTGTAGGGACCAGCAGGAGACAGAGGAGAACAAGGTCCTCCAGGTCCCACAGGTTTTCAGGTGAGTCTTTCTGAAATCAGTGTAATCAATGTAAGCCATCCAAGGGCTTTGGGATTGTTGTTATTATTATGAGTAAAACAAATGTAATAAAATAACTGCCAAAGTAATGACCACCATGTTTTTGGAGTACTTATGAATTATTCTTTGTGCTCAAATTAAAATACCACTGAAGCGGTATTTTCAACATATAATCCAAGATAAGCTGACCATGTGATTTGTTTTTGGTTTATTTCCTTGTAGGGTTTACCAGGTACCCCAGGCCCTCCAGGAGAAGGGGGAAAACCAGGTGATCAGGTACCTGTTTAATAATGGTTTTGTGTGATTGATTAATTTTGAATACTTTTAACTAATTCATTTCTTTTTTTTAACAGTGTTAACTTTTTTTTATAGTGTAAGCCATGCAGTCACCGTATCAGTAACACAGGGAGCATAGTAATGAAATGAAATAAATAAATATTTCTACAGCTGTTTTTCCCCACAGAAGTTATGCTTTTGAGAGAATATATATTGTCATGGGCAAGTGGGGTGGGAATGTCAAATGTGTACAACATGTATTAAACTTGTCCAGGTTGATGGGGAAAAGCAGAAAATGTAATTAAAAACTGGAAATGTCAAATGTTTTGTCCTCACAATTACAGAAATTCCTTCCTTCCTTCCTTCCTTCCTTCCTTCCTTCCTTCCTTCCTTCCTCCCTCCCTCCCTCCCTCCCTCCCTCCCTCCCTTCCTTCCAGAGAAATGTCAAGTAGAAGACATTTTTGTTGGCCTTTTAAATCACTTCCTCTTTCTTTGATACCAAGACACTCCAGTTGCTGAATTCATCTGGCTGTAGGAATAAAGGGAGAAGATATTTCAGCAACCAAGAACAAAAACCCAGAGTCACAACACAGTAATCATCCTGATGAGCTTGCTTTCTGTACAGCTGTTCCTAGATACAGCTGGGGTGCAAGTAGGGAGCGTTTTTTTGGTCCAGCCTCTTGCACACGAACGTTTTAGATCAGTCCCTCTTCTCTGGAAAGGATGGCTGGGACCTTGTGAGCCTCTTGAATATCTAGGACATCTGGAAATGTCCTCGATAGGAACAGGAAATGTCTCAAGTCATCTCAGGAACTCTCCTCTAATTCTTTGATAGCATGGAAGAACATTAGATACTGTTCTAGGAATACCCTGCCTCCTAACCTCCCTCACATTCCTTGCTGAGCTTTTTTTAAAAAAAAGATTTAAGTCTTTTAAAAGATTAGCACATTTTCCAGAGAGAAGCTCCTATTGCCCTGGGAATTTTTATTAATGGGGACAAACACAGCATCAGTAATTATATATGGCAGTACATGGATCCCCTCTTTCATAATTTGTTGTATAGTACCAATAAAGCTAGCTGTCTGTCTGTCTGTCTATCTATCTATCTATCTATCTATCTATCTATCTATCTATCTATCTATCTATCAGCAGAATACTTTTGAGATATTATGCTTAATGTTGCTTCTGTTGCTGATTTTTTGTTGTAATTCTGGAAGATCTGTGACTATACCTTTCTTTCTCTACCCATTGCAATTCCTCATCCTAACTAAAGGGTAATTGTTGGGAAGCTTCCAATGTATTTGGTCTTATACAGTAGTTATGAAGAGGAATATAGTGAGAAGAACACACAACTTACTATCTTTGGCACTATTACTATGTTTTTAAGATCACCAATAACTACTCCCTAATTCTCTCTCTTCGTCTCTCTGTATGGAGCTAGCAATAATATCTCTCTCTTTTTAATAATTGTTTTAGGGTGTTCCTGGTGATCCCGGAGCGCCAGGCCCCTTAGGTCCAAGGGTAAGTTCGATTTCTTAATAATGACTTTTCAGAGAAAATTTTCAGAGTATTTTTTAAATTAATTTTGGAAGAAAAACAATCATGTGTATTATACTAGTGAGTTGCAGAAATCCCTAAAGGGCAAGTTGAATGCATTACAGTTTCAATTCATTATAATATACACATTCTCCCCAGTGCTCTGATAGTCAAAAACAAACAAACAAAACAAAACAAACAAACAAACAGGTCCCTGTGCAATGTTAGATTGTGCAGGCTTTGGGTCCATTTATCTGAAATATTTTGAATCTTTGATTTTTCATTTCAGTGGGACTCTATCACAGATTCTAGAACCCTCTGTATTAGCAGTTTGTTTCTATTTATTAATTGGTATGCTTCACTTATATTGCTTTACCTATTTAAGTGCTGTGTACATCACATTGTATATGTAATTTGTGGATGCTTGCCATTCAGGTACTAGCTTGATGCAGACCCACTTAGCTCTAGAGAGGAAAGTTCCTCAGAAGAAACCCCAGCAATTTTTATAACCATGTGATGTGTTTACAGTTTAATGAGTTCTAACACCTCCACAACTTATAGCAATTATGGGAAACTGTTAGGTTTATATGAGACGTGAGATTGTTGTACAAAATCTGCAGAGATGGCATCTCCAGGCAACCTGCTGCTGCTCCTTAGTATTTTGATCCATGACTTGGCTGGCCATTTTGGCTGAGTTCAAGTTGAAATTTAAACAATGTAAAGGCCCTCAGATCACTATCCCTTCAAGTGGAAGGGCAGTTTTTAATATTCTGTTAAAAATGTTGCCAATGTCAGCAGGTTTATCCTTTTTTGTGTGTAAAATTCATTGCTAGCATATATGGAATGAGTTATTACTTCTTAGATGGAACTACATTTACAATTGCTAAACTATTTGAAATGCTATTTCCAGGGAGAACGTGGCCATCCAGGTGAAAGAGGAAACCCAGGATCATCTGGTCTTCAGGGGGAAAAGGGTATGGCTGGAGGTCAAGGTCCTGATGGTCCAAAGGTAAGCAGTGCCCATATATACTATAAGTGGGTATGCATTCTGCATGCACCATTTGTCTGCATATAGAGAGAGTGGATGATGCAGAACAATGCTTATAGCAGTGTTCATTAACATAGAGATATGGACAGTTTTAAAATGAGCTTGACTCCTGACAACTGCATCCATGAAGGTTTTTTTTTCCTTTGTGGGGGCAATGTTACAAGTCACAGACTAGTCAACAAATCTGGAATTTCCAATTGGATGCTCACACAAGGTACAAATCAGTAGTTACAATAAATCATTTTTATACAGCTTAAGGTTCTTGTGGATCTCATTAACTTTATTTTAAGATGGTTGGTAAGTTCATTTTAATGTTATATAGAGAGTAGAAAATAGTACTAGTAATATGTGTAGGCCAAATGAATTCACTAATCAAGCTGGGATTATGCCAAGACTGGTTTCACTCCTTTTCTGTCTTAAAAGGCTTACAGAGCAAAAAAGATCCCACTACATGAAGGCCATGCAGTTATGCTACTTAGAGATTAAGCTCTGCTAGTTCTGGAGGAACTGTTTTAGTTTAATCATACCATGAAGATTGCATTTCAAAAAAGAGATAAGTCCAATTGCTAGAAGGCAGAGAGGCATGGACTTTAAATTAAAAATACAAGAGAGGAATAAAACAAAACTAGGGGCTTTTATTTATTTACTAATATGGAGAATATAACATTTGTCAAAATTGAGTTTCTCTAAAGATTATATCAATGAGATTATATAAGTGATAGCATTTTGATGCGCTGTATTACAATCATTTTCCTATGGATTTATTTCATATTACATTTGTTCCCAATTTTATTTTGATAATATAAGAGCTAAAATGAAGGGAAAGAACTCAATTTATACATACCTTGACAAACAAATCAGATTTGTGATTCTCAATTGTAAGAAAGTACAACATTTTGGTTTTAGGAGACAGATCTAATTGAGATCCATTCCGAAATAGCTCTGCTGAACGACCACATTCAGACAACAAAACATCGGTCAAGCCACAGTTTATAGAACACCATTGTATTGCTATTTATGGCTGCATTTTGATGCTCACAAGTCGAAGAAATCTGAGCTATTTTTCAATTTAGAAGAAATGTTGATTCGTTATGGTGCATCCCAACAGGACATTTATGTGTTCTGGAGATGGGGAAATGCACCCACCAAGGCAAGGAGGGCCTGTCCAATAGATAGAGAGAGAGAGATAGGCAGGACTCCAAATTGGTTCCCTTCCATAAAATTACCTCCTGCCTTTTAACTTCCTTTTCCTTTTGTTTCAGGGAAATCCAGGCCCTTCAGGAGCATCGGGAGATCAGGGCCCTCCTGGTCTTCAGGGGATGCCTGGAGAGAGAGGCCTAGCTGGAACACCTGGCCCCAAGGGTGATCGGGTAAGCTTGTTTAGAAATGTCCATGACTTCTCTTTTCTGTAGGAGGATTTCCCCCCTCTTTTCTACAACCTTACACCTTTATATAATTATTTGGAAATGACTCGAGTTTTCCTTATGCTTTTTTCAGGGCAGCGTAGGAGAAAAAGGAGGCGAAGGCACCGCTGGCAATGATGGGGCCAGAGTAAGTGGAAAGTCCTCTTTTTTTGCTAATAATGCTGGGTCTTAATGAGAGATTATAACTAATAGTGTTGCAATAGTGGCAAATATTGGTAGCTCGGGTGTAGGATGCGGGTAGAGGTTCGTTCTCCAAGCTTGTGGGTTGGTTTCTGAACGTTTAGTTACCAGGCTAGGTAACATCTTCAGTGGAATTTAGGGTATGTCAGTGTCAGTGTTCTGTTTATAAGGGCTTCAGGTGTGGGTATGTCAAGTGAAGGTCTTGTGATGGGTCAGCTGTGAATCATCAGTGAATCTTGTGATGGGTCTTGTGATAAGGAGATAACATCAGGTCAGGTTCAAACCCACGTAACAAAACGTTCAGAAACCAACCCCAAAACTCAGAAAATTAACCTTCCCCCTCAACTAATAGTGTATTGCAGCATATTTTTGATACCACATGTTAGTAAACCAGAACTGATTTGTGGTAGGAGGTCACATGCTATAAGTGTTTGAAGGCACCAAATTCCATTCCAAATAAAGTGTTCTTCTGATTTATTAGGGTTCTTAGCTCTTATTCTAGCCTAGCCTCATAAATATCAGTGGACCAGCATGGCTTTCTTTTCTGAAGAAAGTTTAAAAAAAAACCAAGAGCTTCTACATACAATGAAAGATTGCTTGTCTTACTGGAATTATGATTATCTCCTAGGGACTCCCAGGTTCATTAGGCCCAAATGGCCCCGCAGGTCCGGCTGGTGAAAAGGTAAAACAGTTAGTAGAACTATCAACTATGGAGTGGGTTTATGATGATGTTATAGTACAACTCTTCAGGACTATGTATGATAAAATCTCATAACCTTTTTTCAATTTAAGGGTGAACCTGGTCCTCGAGGTTTAGTTGGCCCTGCAGGCTCTCGTGGAAATCCTGTAAGTAAAGAATCACATTGTCTGTGTTTTCATAAGTTGGGTGTTGGTATTGTTATTATGTACAATGACAATTTTTTTCACTGCTTTTTCTATTTACCACTCATTCATTCTCTCTTTCCCTCCTCTCTTTCCATAAAACTGCTAAATGAAAAGAATAATGGCTGCTTATCAAATTATAAAAGAATATATCATTTTGAATATAACTGTATAATATTTTTATAATATTGGATAGTTTGCATCAATTAAATCATATATTAAAGCATCATAATTCTACATACCATATATTCTTAGGAAGAGTCAGATTTCCTGTTCTAGCATTTATAGAATTCCAGGTGGTGATGATGATTGAAACATTTTAAATATATTATATCATCTATATATGTATATGGTTGTTTATTGATACCATTAATTGCTTCTGCAAAATATATTCTGTAGATGTATCTAGCATAACCAGCTTATTTTTTACCAGAATAAATCATGAATTGTTGAAGTTACATCATAAAAAATAGCAAAAATTGTATGTTTTAACGTTTCCTTTGGAACCTACTTTCCGTCTTTCTTTCTTTTTCCTGCTAGGGTTCCCGTGGTGAAAATGGCCCAACTGGTCCAGTTGGATTTGCTGGCCCTCAGGTGTGCAGTTTCTTTGAAGCTTTTTTTTTGAACCTGTGATTTCAGAGAAGGAGAACTATGTTGCAAGGTTCTTAAACACGAGGCATATGCTGGGCCTTTTTTTTTAAAGGAAAAAAACATTTGTATTAGTTAAAAATAACATTCATAACATAGGCTTGGAATAGATGAAAGAACTGGATTGGTCATTTCTCTGAATGTTTCTAGGGCCCTGATGGTCAACCTGGTGTGAAAGGTGAACCTGGGGAGCCTGGGCAGAAAGGAGATGCTGGATCCCCAGGACCTCAAGGTCTTTCAGGTTCTCATGGTCCACCAGTAAGTAAACATCTCATTGAAATAAAACTCTCCTTCCCATCATTTGCTGTGGCAGCTGAATATTAATCTTCTTTTTCTTATTTCCACTCAGGGCCCTCCTGGGGTTCATGGACTCAAAGGAGGCCGTGGTACAAAAGGACCCCCTGTAAGTTGATTGAGCAGAGTTCCTATGAGTAAAGTTCTAGCTTTTATTTTGATTGGGATATCTATGACTTTCTTAGCACTTTTGTATATTTCAGACATGATGTTTAAGTCTTTATACAGTAAAGAATGCTTGTCAACATAGTACATATAAATGTTTGCTAGGTCCCATGTATGTTTATTTATTTCTAGGGTGCTACAGGTTTTCCTGGATCTGCTGGAAGAGTTGGACCCCCGGGACCTACAGTACGTTAGATGTTTAATTAGATATATTACAGTAAGGATTTTATTTAAAACAAGTATTGTAAAATAATGCAAACATAGCGAAGATCAAATGATTTTTTAAAATATCATTTGTGTCCCATTTTGTGTTAAAATAGGCAGAGGCAGAAAATTGATCCTCGAGGTATTGCTGAACTACAACTCCCATTCATCAATGCCAAAAAAAATGGAGGGGGGAGGTTGGAACTAGAGATTCAGGATCTCAGGTTTCCAGCCCTTGAGATAATATGTCAATGTGTTATAGTAGATTATGAATTATATGGAGAAGATTTCTCCACTATTACTCTGCTGGTGCTCTTAGGCCAAGTCAGTGGTTCTCAACCTAGGGTCTGCAGGCCTCTGGGGGGGACTGCAGTGTCATCACAGGAAGTCCACGAAGGCTTGAAGAAATGTTATGATTTAAATCTTGAATTAAGTCTTGGGGATCCGTGGACAAGGTTTGTGGCCAGAAAAGGTATTTAAAGGGGTCCATGGTGAAAAGATTGAGAACTACTGGGCCAAGTTATTGTCCTTCACTCAGTGCAGGATTGTCATAAGACTGAAAGGGTAGAAACATGGGCATCTACAGATGGTGGGTAGATACCTGCAGGTTGATGAACATGGTGTCACAACTGGACTGGAGTTTCATTTGCAGCACTGTGACCAACAACTTGCTGATTTTTTAAACTCTCTTTATATATGCTCTTAGGGGAAAGATGATACCAGTATTAATATCAATAAAGATGTTACACACTCTAGTTTATGGATAGAGATAATGTTGCACAATATACTTTTTATGAGATAGATATTGCTAAAGTGCTATTTCATTTGGAAGGAAATTCTATTTTGAATGCATGAAGCACTAAATTTAGAGGTTGGATGAATTCTGTCACCTGGCTCAAGACTGTACAAAAAGTTTATTGGAACTCTAAAACTTTAAGGACTTTCTTGCATTTAAAGAAAAAAAAAATACGTGTCCTATGTGTATTGATATATTGAGTAGTAAGCAAGTGAGTCTTTATTGTGGTCTTTGACCTGCTTGAGAATATTTCAGCAAAGGGATAAGAAACAGTAATATTAAAATCCAATTTTTTAAAAAAAGATTAAAATTATTTACAGTATGTGAATATTGAGGTCATACACAGGATTGTATTTAATAATTAGGGAGTATTTGACAATAATTGAATGGCAATTGATTACATTTTCAATGCATGTAATATAAGTAACATAATTATTTCTTAGAAAAGCACGATGAAAAAACCTAGAAATATATAGTACATTTTTTGTGAGGCTTAGATCAGGTCTGGAAGTGATCAGCGTAAGAATGAAAAACTACTGATCAAATAGGAAGCATCCTAGCTATGTTCTAGAGCAGTAGCATGCTGTAAAATGCAATAAAGAAAAGAAATTGGATCACTGACCTGTCTGTTTTTAACAGAAGCTTCTTTTTTCAGGGAGCTCTTGGTCCCGTTGGGCCTCTTGGTGAACCAGGCAAAGAAGGTCCTCCAGGTGTTCGTGGAGATCCTGGTTCTCATGGCCGAGTAGGAGATAGAGGCCCAGCAGGACCACCTGGCAGCCCTGGAGACAAAGGAGACTCAGGAGAAGATGGGCAACATGTAAGTAGAGGGTGAGACTGGGAAGTAGAGAAAAGCTTATGTTTGCAAACGAGGTATGGAAACTTTCCATTCTTTTTTCCCTCTAGAATTTAGTTATTCATATACCTTTAGAAGTGAACCAAAATTATCTCATTACCAGGAGCTACAAAGCCTACAAGAATATATTTTATGGTGATATTTATAATCTGTGATATGGTTGCCTTTTTTGTTTCCTAATGCTTCCAATTCTCTTTTGACATAGCAACTCCTGCTCTTTTGTTCTGCACTTTTTTATCTTTCATCCATTCCAATTCACATGTTTCCCCAGGCCTTTTTAAAAAAAATGAAGACTCTGCGTTAAGGCTAAAGAAAATTAGGTTCTTTATTGTAACCCACAAATGCTGGGTGGGTTACTATATCTGACCCAACAAACTCTGGATAGGCCCTGGATGTCAGCAGAGCAGTAGAGCTTATATTTCTTTGCTGCTCTCTCGATGGTTGTCTGAATTTTTGCAGCCGAGATATGGTTGTCTTGATCTTTGGGAAAAAGTAGAGGGAAGCCTTGATTTCAACTCAAAATGCTAAGGGTCATTGAGCCTTTTTCTTCAAAAATTTCCCTCCTAAACCACTTCTTTTAGAGCAAGGAAACAAAAAACTTACATTACAGCTTTCAGCAGCATCAGATTTTCTCATCTTTGCTATTTCTTGATTAGCTCAAATGCTAAACTATGACATCCTAGTTGAATATAAATGTTAGAGGTTGCTAAGTAAGCCAATTTGTTCCTTGTGTATTCCAGGGTCCTGATGGCCCCCCAGGTCCATCTGGAACTACTGGGCAGAGAGGTATTGTGGGAATGCCCGGCCAGCGTGGAGAAAGGGGCATGCCTGGCCTGCCAGGCTCTGCAGTGAGTATTGCCACAACTGGCATTTTTGACTATGCACTCAACTCTGTTCAACCCCAGGGAAAAGAAGGACTGGGGGTGACATGAGAGCAGTACCCCAGTATTTAAGGGGCTGCCACAAAGAAGACAGGGGGTAGTCAACTTATTTTTTAAAGCACCAGAAGGCAAGACAAGAAATAATGGATGGAAACGCATCAAAGAGAAGCAACCTGGAATTAAGGTGAAACTTCCTAACAGTGAGAACAATTAACCAGTATTACAGCTTGCCTTCAGAAGTTGTGGGTGCTCCATCACTGGAGGCTTTTAATAAGAAGAGACTGGATAGCCAATTCTCTTGAATGGTATAGGGTCTCCACCTTGAGCAGGGAGGTTGGACTAGAAGACTCCCAAAGTCCCTTCCAACTCTTTTATTCTGTTATTCTGTTTTATGGCTGTAAGAACGTAGCTATGATTGATGCCCATTTAAACTGATGTCTGAATGCTTTGCTATACATAACAATCATCCGTGGGTTTAATCATTGACATGGTCTCTCTTTTCATGCCAGGGAACTCCTGGAAAGCAAGGTCCAACTGGACCAACAGGAGACAAGGGCCCTTCTGGGCCAATTGGTCCTCCAGGTGCTCCTGGACCAGTGGGAGAAGCAGGGCCAGAGGTAAGTGTATTTTCATAGGCAGTTTTGACATAAGAATAGGTTAACAATGTTATGGATTCAAATAACTGCCCGTGAATACATGTATACGTTTCTAGAACTGATATTCCTTCAGTGATATTTGTATCACATTGATCCTTAAGAAAGTCAGTCCCAGGTGTGGACAAGTTTTTTTTTGTCCTACTGGAAGTCTCTCAGTAGAAGTAATGGGGGAGAGGCCTCCCCCGTTAGAGGCCTCAGTGTTGGTGGAACCAAAGGATATAGTAGGGAAGAGCTAAAAGTGGCTGGTATCATTGACTCTCTTTTTTGGCATGTTGTCTCTCCCCATCTTTCTGGCCTTCAGTTTTTCCTCTCTAATTTTTGACTGAAGGAAAAATGCATAGAGATGCTACTGAAGGTTTTCAATGTTCTCTTGTATTCAAGCTTCAAAATTCAGTCAAAGGCTACCGGTTGCCCTTTCATTACCTAGGCTATAAAATTTAGGAGCTTGAAGAAGAGGCCAGTATAATTGTTTTAAAAATGGCAAGTATTGTAAGCCATTCTCTTTTGGTATTATAATCTAGTTGGTTTTAGTAGTTTCAAAAATGCAACTAAAAATACATTGCTGCATTTTCATAAAATAGCAATATTAATATTATTCTTAATATTATCAACACAGCTTAATTTCAATCATTGGAGTTTCCTTTTATATGTCTCTGATTATTTTGTAATTTCCAAGCCTTTTTCAAAGGCAATCCCATGTATAAAATATTATTTTAGGACAAATCTGATTTCACACATAATCCACTTTTCCACTTCTCATTCAACTTAGGGTCCTGCTGGTAATGATGGCACTCCTGGGCGAGATGGAGCTGTTGGTGAAAGGGTAAGTGAGTTTGAAATTTCAATGAATAAAGCTTTTGCTTTCTTGTTGATTTAGAGTTTTATGCCATCCTTTATATTTCAATCTTTGAGAAAAATCACCGTCAGAACTCTAAATAAGGATGAATGTTTTAAAACAAACCCAGTTTTACAACAAAAGCATAAATGTGTCTAATCTATTTGTTTGGGGTCTTCATGAGTATAATCTTAGTAAGGACAGGTAAAAAGGTTATAATTCACCATGTGGCATATAACATATTGGAAGTTAAGCTAAGTTAGCAGAGTGAGCCTGTAATAAAATGTTATCATTATTGTTATTAAAAATTTTATGCCTCTCTACTCCCAATGGCTCAATGTGGTGTAGACAGAAAAATCTGACACTTAAAATAACAAGATAGTAATAATCAACATACTTTGTGATAACATTGACTGACAGGTTTAGAAACCCAACTCTAATATCCCCAAATTCTTTCTCCCAGAGTCAATTTTTTCTTCATAAACACTCATTAGGGAAGAATAGCTCCTATGTGTGAAGGCAAATTACTCTATGAGATGTATAAAAATCTTGCAGTGTTTGTTCCCCTTCAGAAATCCAGCAGTCAGCAACTCTCTTTTCTAGGTTCCCAGATTCCTTCCTTTTGAAGTTCCAGATAACTTTTTCTCCAATACAGACTAAACATGTCCAGTCCTTATTGGACTATTTTGCAGATATGATTTTATCTCATGGCTTTCTTCTGATCCACCCCAGCTATATTGTAGATAGTTGTAGCACAGCAGCTCAGTAATAATAGTATAATAGAACAAAATGCGTAATTTTGTCTGTATAAAGATATGCACTTGGAAGTGATCTATATCTGATTGTAGAATTGGAATGGTATTTGTTGTAGGGTGATCGTGGTGAGCCTGGACCTGCAGGACTTCCTGGTTCTCAGGGTGTTTCAGGTACCCCAGGGCCAGTTGGATCTCCCGGGGATGCGGGACAAAGAGGTGAACCAGTAAGTATAGCTGTTCCCTTATATTATTTGCATTTCATTGACAGAACTCTTGACCATACAGTCAACTACCCATTATCATTTATCCTTCTTAAGACATATATTATGAAAGAAGAATTCTGGCCATGAAATGAGATGGCTGATGAATGTATATTTATGTTTCTGAGTTAAGTAATGTTTAACTGTCTAATAGATTTGCTGTTGTAGTTTTCTAATTGACCCGGATGTGTCATTTGCCAAGCTCTACTGTGAATCCTTTATGAAGATCCTATATAAAACAGCTGTATAGTTAAAATGCTAAATGAATGGCTGCTCTAAGGCATAGATTCTTAATCTGGGTTCCATGGATCCCTTCTGTGGATAAATTATAGGGCTCTCTAAGATCAGATGGGAAAATTTTTTATTACTCCATCAACTTTGGAGATGGTCGTATTTAATAGATGTGGCGTTGGTGATAGTATGCCACCCAGAGTCACATTTTGTGAGATAAGCATGCCATGTAAATATGTTTAATAAATGAATTTTTTTAATTTTCATTAACCTCTAGCTGAAATTTACTTTATCATTCTGTTACAAATAAGGTAAAATATGACTTTGAATCTCCAAAAGTGTTTCTTCAATAAATTTCATTATCTAAATTTATTACAATGATTTATATTTTGATAATTACATTTGAGCAGTTTCCTTTGAAAACTGTACCTGTGAATTTTATTTCATGCATTTTTCTGCTAAAGTTTCAATAGACCCTCAAGGGTTCCATAACACAAAAACTGTAAGAAACTCTGTTCTAAGTATATAGATGCAATCATAAATGAAACCATCTTTTTATTTCATTGCAGGGTTCACGAGGCCCAGTAGGTCCTCCTGGCCGTGCTGGAAAACGAGGTTTGCCCGTATGTTCTCTACATTTCCTTTTAATGGAAACCTTAATAGTTTGAAGAATAGTTGTACTTTTCATTAAAAATAAATTCAATAATGCAAGTTTTGTATATCTGTGTTTTAGCACTCAATATAACTGAAGCTTATGAAAAATAAAGTAATAATTAAGATATATAAATTACTCAGATTAGATTCACCTGTACTGTATCTAGTTCCAGGGAGAAGATACATATTCTTAAATATTTTTGAATTTTAAATTTTCTATATCTTTTATATACACCATAAACAGATGCAGGATATTAAAACGAATAGAAAAAATCTATAATTATAGATGGAGTTTGTTTATCTTCTCAGTACATATCAATCTGCATTTTGAACAGCTTTGCATGTCAATATATGTACAACACACGCAAATGTGAGTGATATGGCATATAGCTTAAAAAATAAATTTTGTTGCAGATGTGTAAAAAATGTATAGGAGTTATGGATACTTATTATAGATATTCATTTAGGGAACTGAAGGTATGCAGTCTTAGTTCACTGAAATCAATGAGAAATGGAGCATATTGCTAATGCCTGATTTGAAAAGCATAGAAATATCTTTAATTTTAGCTGGATTGTACCTTTGCATTTTATTTTAATTTTAATTTGTTTTATTTTTCTAATTTAAGGGTCCCCAAGGTCCACGTGGCGACAAAGGTGACAATGGTGATCGAGGGGACAGGGGACAGAAAGGGCATCGAGGTTTCACTGGCCTGCAAGGTCTCCCTGGACCTCCTGTAAGACATTATCTATATATTTGTTTTACTGTTACTCCAGTTCTCCATCGCAACTGCCGTTTTTGTGCATATATCATATTGCACTTGGCACTGCCTTCTGCCTCTGCTTCCTTATTTATTGTGGTGGAACACTCCTTTTCTGGGTGATGCACTCAATCACCTTTTTGAATCTTAAAAAAATGTAAAAAAAGGCCTTAGAAATAGCAATAGCACTTAGGCTTATATACTGCTTCATAGTGCTTTACAGCCTTCTCTAAGCAGTTTACAGAGTCAGCATATTGCCCTCAACAATCTGACTCTTTATTTTACCTCAGAAGGATAGAAGGCTGAGTCAACCTTCAGCCATTAAGAATCAAACTGCCGAACTGCTAGCAGAATCAGCCTGCAATACTGCATTCTAACCACTGCACCACCATGGCTCATAAAAAAAGTATTAACCTTGACTGTCTCCATGTTCAAAATGGTGCATTTATCTGGAAATGAAAAGGAAAAATATATCAATTTCTTTTAACTAATTATTTATTGTAAATCCTTTAAAAGATTTTCTGTAGACTTTTGCCATAGGAAAGCTGCTGAGCAGCTGTTTGTCAGTCAGAACAAGTGCATGCAAGGTGTAGTACATTATATAACACAATGGAAATGATTGCTTGACGATTTTGCTTTTGCTTTCATTGTGATCCAGTCTGTATTAAAATCTGGAGCGTCTTCAAAATCATTTTTCTGTTAACAAGAGATGCATTGGAAAATATTGTTGATAGGGAGAATGAGGACTTATAGGGAAAAGTTTTATTACATTGCCTTCCCTCACCCGCTAATTTAGGGCTCTGGTTTTCCAAGATGATTAATAATCTTTGCAACCAAAATTCAAAACTATATTTTCTTGCAGTGGTTCAAGGCCAAGCATGGCTGCCTTTGCTCCAATATGATCTTAATCATAGAACGAACTGTCGGTGGACTTAGAACTACATACAACTTATTTTTTGTTATCTTCAGGTTATTATGTCATGAATTAGAAATGCTGAGACTTTAAACTAAAGAATAATAGGTCATCACTGGATACCCCAGGTTGATTTATTCAAAACCATCATATTTTCTTCTTTAAAGATGAGATGTAATTTGAGAAAACATAGACTATTCACACTGTGTTTTGCAGGGACCTACTGGTGAACAAGGCAATGCTGGGATTCCAGGCCCATTTGGCCCAAGAGTAAGTAAGCCAGATGTGAAATATAATATGGAAACAATTAAATCCCCCTCCCCCGTTTTATGTTTGCTGTTGTACAGATGGTGTTTGTTGATTTCAGAGTGAAATTAATTTGGATAGGGATGCAGATTATTTTTTTATTAAACAAGGTTGTGCTTGAGGTCATTTACCTTCCTTAATTCCTTTGTGTATGGAATTCTAAATATAACCTAGTGTTTGGCAAATATGCGAACTTGACAAAGATTTAGCTTTCATTCCAAAAAAGGTTCTTATTCCTCAAGATTTTCAATAACAACCTCCAATTTGCTGGTATCAACTAATGGCGACTTTGGTGCACATTAATGCATACTTTTCCAATGGGCTTTAGTTATCTTTTTCTGCATAGATCTCGGTGTTCTTCATTCTTTACTCATATTATATCCTTTCCCAACTCCTTACGTCTTTCCAATTTTGCACAGAACTCAAGCAACTTTTAAAGGGACAACTTACAATATAAACAACTAAAAGCTTAATATTTCTCTGGTTTTAATTTTATCAATGTTTTTATTGCTAACATTGGCTGGCTGGGATGTTTGAAAATTTGAGAGTTGTGTTTTAGAAGAACAATGTTTCAGAAGAGCAAAAAGAGAATGAATACAGATTTAAAATATATTTGGGAACCATTTTTCTGTTTGTGCCAAAAGGCATCAAATTTGATATCAGATAAAACTTCTTCAACAAACCGCTCCAGTTTATGAGTCAGCAACCAGAATAGGCCTTCTGAAGAATAAGTTAATGGGGGAGGGCAGGAGATCAATTTCCAAGTTTCTTGGATTCAAGGCTTAAGATACAAATGGATTAAGATGTGGATGGATACTCAGTGAAGATTGTGAACTTTTGATACCAGCAGTTTTCCCTGAAAGGGGGGAGAGAAAAAGTGCAAAAATGAATGTGTGCACATGGGTGAATCTGTGTGCATGTTGTGTGCATACTGTATGTGAAGAAAACTTCAGTATACCATTGAAGCTTATCAAAAATGATTAAATTGAGGAAAGCAAAAGAAAAAAACAGCAACCTCTCCCAGATTTCTACTGGATTGTTATTGGAAATTCCAGAAAACAGATTCTGCCACATCAAAATAACATTAAAATTGGACATGGATTTGGTGGCATCTAGCTTTCCTTGTTTCAGATATCTCCCCCAAGTAAAGTTAAGCACAGCGATTTAGTGTAGTTTGTGGCAGCAGCTGCTAAAAAAAACAGTTTGAGCATATTCCAACTCACCCATCTGCATCTTTTACCCTAAGGGAAAGCCATCTTCATTGTAATGTTTGAATAACCCAGCAACAAAGAAGCTTCTCCCTTCAATGGCCCTCTTGGGAGCCATTTTATGTCATGGTTCACATTTTGTCATGGTTCACATTTTTTCTAGGAGCTCTGTGGAGTGCCCACAGGAAACACCTGATAATTATAACAGGAAGACCTTGAGCAAGTGCAATTCTTTTAAAATAACTTGAACAAGGAGAGTAAGGCTTTTATTGGCATTTATTCAATCTCACTATTAAAATAATGGAGATAAAATGGCTGAAATGCTCTCCTAGGTTCTCAGTCTATTGATGGGACTGAAAAAGAGAAGAATACTTTTACCATGTAAGCATTTCAGCCAGTCAGTTAGACCTGTTAGATCTTCAGACAATATCTAAAAGAGAAGAAATTAGCAGATTCAGATGCCACAAAGGGTGCCTCTAGATTCAAGCAATAAAGACGTGTAAGAAAGCCTGTTCTTATTCTTTTCATTCTTATTCAGTAACATTGTTACCTTGTTCATCTTTGTTGTTTCCCCACCAAATTTGTATTTCAGTATCACTCAGTTAGCACTTTTATCCCATGAGTATTTTTTGGGAGGGGAGAGAGAAGAAGAAAAACAATCAGACTTAGCAATTAAGTGAATCAACTAATGAATCAATGCATGTAACTTTTTACAATGCTGTTACAACCTTGGGGCTGAAGCAGTTAGTTGTTGCTCAACAATTGTCTAGATCTAATTCTTTGTAATAGCTTAAATTTAATTTATGGCTTACACGTTAAAGAAACCTTTTCTAACAGTGATCATAATATGATTGAGTTTTGTATTAATCTGCATTCTCCTGAACTGGGTCTTAATGTCTGTTCTTCAAATTATAATTTTAAAACAGCAAACAATGATTTAATAGCTGCTGATTTGGCATCTTTAAATTGGCACCGTCTGTTCTCAGGTTGTAAAAATGTAGAATATTTTTATAACATTCCTTTGCTTGAAATAAATTGAGCTATAAATGTATTTGTACTAAGAAAAACCAAAAAAGTTATAAAGAATAAATTACCCAAAGTAATAAGAAAATTACAATCTAAGAAAAAAATCTCTTTGGCGGAATGACAAGACATATTTTGTTGCCAAATTCAAAAGCCACTACAAAGCCTTACATCATCAAATTAAAGATGAATGCACCAATTATTTCTGTAAACAGGAAGAAAAGCTGTTAAATTCAAACTCTACATGAGTCTTTCATAACTTTGTTAACTCGAAACTTAAAGATTCACAAGTGATTCCACCCTTAAAGGGCAAAACAGGTTGATTGCAATGACAATGTTGGTTAAGCCCATCTTTTCAATACATTTTTGGTTCAGTTTTTGTGGATACCAATGGTTGCACTCCCTCATTCACAAGTCAAACCACAAATAGTTGTAGCAAATTGTTGAATATTAAATTTTCAGTAGATAATGTTGAATTACCATTATGTAATTTAAAGCCATTGCTATCCATAGGACCAGATGGATTATGTGTTTTTTTCCTGAAAAAGCTTGCTAAACCTTTGTGTACAATTTTTGGAGTATCATTTCAAACTAGTTCCCTGCTTGATCTATAGTCAGCTATAGTTATACCAATTTTTAAAAAGGGTGACCTTAGTTCAGTTGAAAATTATAGACCAATTTCTTTGTGTTGTGTTACATACAAAGTTATGGAATCAATTATAAACCAATCCATCGTTTACCACTTAGAAACAAATAATTTGCTATCTGGGAAACAGTTTGGCTCTAGGAAAAATTCATCCTGTAATTTACAAATTTTGCACTGTAAAAGCATCCACATGTCTTGATCAAGGTAAAGCTGTAGATGCAATTTACATAGATTTTTGTAAGGCTTTTGATACATTAGTACATGATAAACTCCTGTTAAAATTAAGCTTATGGCATTTTTTTGCACAAGTGGATTGCTGCTTTCCTGTCTAATAGACTGCAGAAAATCAAAATAGGGATCTTGCTGTCTAATCCTGCATCAATCCTGCATCAAGTGGTGTTCCGCAAGGCAGCTTTTTAGGTCAATTGCGTTCTTTTTGCTGATGATGTAAAATTCTTCAATTCTACAGATAATTCTGTTGTTTTGCAAAGTGATCTCGACTGTGTCTGAATAGTCATCTATTTGGCAACTTCAAATTTCGATTAATAAATGCTCTGTCTTACATATTGGTAAACTTAATCAGAATGTCAAGTATAAGCTAGGTGGCATTGATCTAGCAGATGACCCTCACTTTGTTAAAGACCTAGGTGTACTTATCTGTGACAATTTATGTTCCAAAGCTCACTGTAATAGCATTGCTAAAAAAGCATTAAGAGTTGTAAATTTAATTTTGCGAAACTTTTTTTCTGAAAACATTGTAGTGTTAATTAGAGCTTATAAAACTTATGCTAGACCAGTTTTAGAGTATTATTCAGCTGTTTGGAATCCCCACCATATATCTGACATCAGCACAATCGAGCAGGTACTTAACGCGAAAAGTCTTGCATTCTCCTGTACACAATATAATTCTTTATGTTACCAGGCTCGAAATTCTAAGTTTGGATAACTTAGAACTGCGTTGCTTGTGATCAGAACTAGGTATTGCATACAAAATTATACATAATGTTTTACCTAAAAATGACTTTTTCTGTTTTAATCACAATAATATACATGTGAACAACCGCTTTAAACTCAATATAAATTGATCTAAACTTGACTGTAAAAATTTGATTTCTGTAATAGAGTTGTCAAAGTTTGAAATGCCCTACCTGATTCAGTTGTCGTAGCTACAAATTTTCACAATTTCAGTCATGAATTGACTTCCATGGACCTTACTTCATGCTTAAGTGGTCAGTAGAAGGGGTGTGCATAAGTTCACTAATGTGTCTATCATCCCTATCATTGTATTTTTATTCTCTTATTCTTGTTCTCATTTTTGTTGGAAAAATTCCAATAAATGAATAAATTAGTTATTAAGATTAAATAATATCTACCGGTAATAATTATCTTGTAGAAAGCTGAGAAAGGCAAGAAGTATCTTTAGCTGAAAAGAAAGGAAATTATTTATGTGCCCTTATTGACATGATAAACATGAACTTTTGTTTTTAATATAGGGTCCCCCAGGTCCTATTGGACCTTCTGGTAAAGAAGGAAATCCTGGACCACATGGACCTGTTGGACCTCCTGGTGTAAGAGGAACTTTAGGAGAAGCAGGACCTGAGGTAAATAATGGGAAATTGGTTCAGTCAGAGAGAGGAACAGTTAATGACTTGTAAGCTTATACAGTGGAACCTTGGGTTGCAAATGCTTCTGTTCACAACCAAATTGGGTGGTGAACAAAAAATCCACCTGACTTTTGAATTGGGTCACAATTCAAAAATCGGGCAGCGAACAAAATTGGCATGGAAAGATGCCCTTTCCGCGCTGATTTCCCCTTTGGTGCCATTTTTTTTCTTCCGAGCATATGCAGATGTTTATGCTTCTGGTCACAACCAAATTAGGTTGCAACCGTGGTCCTGGAAAAGATTACGGTCGTGACCCAAGGCTCCATTGTATGAGTCCAAATTACATGCCAATTTGGAAGAAGCCACATCTTTCTTTATAAATGCAGGGCACATGAACTAGTGAAGTAGGAATCTGACCATATGTTCCTTGTTTTAGGAGCAACCCAGATCAGTCTTTTTGTCTTTGCCATTTGCACTGCCAATTTGGTTATTTAATGGATCACTTTTTAATGGTGACAGAGATTATAGAAGTGATCCAGATCCAAATCTGTCAATAAAGGAGCAAAAAACTCTCCTATCCCTCATCTCCTATTCAGATTAGGTCCTCCAAACTTAAAAAAATAGTAAACTCTACTTCAAATTGTATTTGATGCTTGGTGACTTCATACATTTTATGTGTTTAAGAAGACAGGAATACAAAAAAGTTTCATTATTGCCACTATTGCCTCTGCTCAAGAATAAAAAATAAGGGTGAAAACGGTGACTTTGCTTATCCCGAGAACAGAAAACATAAAATTGTTAGTTCAATGAGTTCAGACCTTATCAATATTACAGTGTTGGGGAAGAGTGCTCCAAAATAATCATTCTTAATCTATGTCCAGGTAGTAATCAATTAGAACTATAATATTCAGTTACTGAAACAATATCATTATTCTTTTGCTACTGCAATTACTGATGCAAATTGGGCAGCTAAAAGATTCCTTCAGTTAACTTTTATTTATTTATTCAATTTGTATAGCCGCCTGTCTTAACCAGTGACTCTAGTTGTAGTGATTGGAACTACTATGCAGTTATGGTAACTTTGTGTCCCAGATATTACAGTCCTGGATGTGGTCTGTATTGTTTTTTGTGTATAGGGCCCTCCTGGTGATCCTGGTCCTCCAGGCCCACCAGGTCCCCCTGGCCATCTTACTGCTGCAATTGGTGACATTATGGGACATTATGACGATGGTCTACCAGACCCACTACCAGAGTTCACTGAAGATGAAGCTGCTCCAGATGACAGCAATAAAACAGATCCAGGAGTCCATGCCACACTGAAGTCACTCAGTAGCCAGATCGAAACCATGCGCAGCCCTGATGGATCCAAGAAGCACCCAGCCCGTACTTGTGAAGATTTAAGATCATGTCATCCATCCAAAAAGAGTGGTAGGTGTATATTTCTTTTTAAAAAAACAGTCTTCAAATGTGTTTAAATAGAAATACAGGTCTAGTTATACATATTTCTGGAAGGAAAAGATAACCAGGGTCTTTAAGGACCACATTATGAGAAATAGTTGAAAGAATTGTTAGCTGTAGAAGCTATAGCAGGCTACTTCTGTTGATTGAGGGCTGCCTGCAATTTGACAGATGGAATCTCACCAGCTTCAAGGTTGACTCATCCTTCCATCCTTCCAAGGTGGGTAAAATGAGGACCCAGATTGTTGGGGGCAATATGATGACTCTGTAAACCACTTAGAGAGGGCTGTAAAAGCACTGTGAAGCAGTATATAAGTCTAAGTGCTATTGCTATTGTTGAATAATGGATAGACTGCCTTAAACTCTTCATTGCTGGAATTGTTCAAACAGAGGCTGGATAGCCGTCTGTCAGGAATATGCAGTTGTATTACAACATTGAGTGGAGGATTAGATCAAATCAGGGGTATCAAACTCAAGGCACAGAGGACAGATCCAACCTCTGGGGTGCTTAGATCTGGCCTGTGGGGCTGCCCTGAAAACAGCAACGGACCGGTCTGCAGTGTCTCTGCCAGCGAAAATGGAGCATGGGGGGGCTGCCTGCTCCATTTTCGCTGGCAGAGGGTTGCAGGAGACCATCACAACCAAAAACGGAGCTCAGGAGCCCATTTTTGCTGGCAGAGTGCTCCACGGGTGCCCCCAACATGAGTGATGTCAAACTCGCCATGCCCACCCAGACCACGCCCACCCTGGCCCCATGAACAACCCTGATGTGGCCCTCAATGAAATTAAGTTTGACACCCCTGGATTAGATGATTAGATCCCTTCCATTAATAGATTGGTCTTATTAGGACATTGTCTTTGTCTTCACTTTTTATCTTTATTCTACCTTCACCAGAGTAAAGGAACTAAAATTTAAGCAGCCTGCTACAAGATAGCCAGAACATAAAAATCATAAAGGAGGCAGATATAAATGATGAACTATGTAAGAAATCTTGCTCAGATTGTCCACTATTATTATTTGATATATAATAAATGCTTCCAGAAAAAGATTTTTTGTAAGATTTGTCAGCACAAATTAAGAAAAGTAGGCCAAAGATGATGTATTTGTCAAATAATTGCCAATTCTACTTTTACTTGCCCAAGTCTTAAATGTAAGGAAAATTATTTAATTATGAATAAAGAAAGATAATATTTATGCAAGCATATTTGACTGAAAAGGCAGCAATGTTATAAATGCAGTTTAAATTAGCCCAGGTTTGAAATATTGGACAACAAAAATTAAAAATTTGAAAATTAGTTTAGCTATTTTTGGACACCAAGTATCTGCAGACTATCAAGTCCTTTTCCAGTACTTCCTCTTTTACCTTTTTGCTACATCATCACAAACCTTGATCCTGGAACAATTGATATTGAACTCAAATACATTGCTTGACCGTATGCACATTTATTTATTAATAGATGTGCACATGATTGCAATATTAAACTTGAATAGGAAGGAAAGTACTTTGAAGTTATGTTTTGTCCTTAATTGAAATTGAACTGCAACATAGAGAAGGAAAAATTGGTTTGTTATACTTTAAGATTTCCTATTTCGCTTTCATAGGAGAATATTGGATTGACCCTAATCAGGGCTGTGTAGAAGATGCAATCAAAGCATTCTGCAATATGGAAACAGGAGAAACATGTATAGCTGCAAAACCAGCTATCATTCCACGTAAAACATGGTGGACAAGTAGGTCATCTGATCTAAAACCAATATGGTATGGACTTGATATGAACAGAGGTTCACAGGTAACTAATCTGAATTTTCTTGGTATTTATTTCAGTTATTGTTTTGGAATAAACATACGCAGTTTAGTCTAATCCTGGATTTACTTATGCAGCCTTCCACAACATACAGGCATGTTTTTACTAATTATATCCCACCTGTGATACAGCAATTGCTGTCATATCCATTTCCCATTAACATAAAACTTATAGTCATGCAGTTTTCTTTTATATACATGTACCTTATTTACGTGCATCTGTGCTGCCAGACATATTTTTGTTTTCAACTTTCCCATATATTCATTTTTTACTGCAGCTTCCCTAATTATATGCTTTTTTATATGCCGCTTCCCCAAATATATATATTTTCATGCAATGAGTGAGCCAATAATTATTTTGAGATAGATGCTAGCAGGTTCTCTAGATTATATCCTATTTATGCTACAGCAGATTGAATTTGGGTGGAATTTCATTTTAAAAGATACCCATGATGAATTTTCCATAACCTTGTATTGAAGGAAAATAAATATTTCCTTTTAATTCACCTCAGTTATTAAATAAATGTTTGGGGTACACACAGAAATTCACATATTTAAATTAATGTGTACAAAATTTAAAGCATCAAAATACATATAGTACATATAAGTATATCAAGACACAGATAGCTTTTAAATATATTTACATCACTGGTGAGATTCAAATTTTTTTACTACCAGTTCTGTGGGTGTGTCTAGGGGGAATGGCCATGTGACTAGTTGAGCATGCTTTTTTTTTTGCTTTTTGCAGCACCCCTCCCCCCATTTTTTGGGTCCTCTGGGCCTCAGGCAAGCCTCCTGTGAGGGCATTTTTGCTCCCAGAAGGCTTCCCTAGGGCTCAAGAATGCAGAAAACTGAGCCTGGGAAGGGGTGCACAGCAACCCCTCCATGCTTCGTTTTGGGGCCTTCTGAGCCTCAGGAAGCCTCGGGAGGGGCGTTTTCGCTCCCAAAAGTCTTCCCTAGGGCTTAGGAAGGCAGAAAACTGAGCCAGAGGGCATGTGCAGCACCCCCCATGCTTTGTTTTAGGGCCTTCTGAACCTCAGAAGCTTCCGGGGGGGCATTTTCAGGGGTGGGATTCTACCAGTTCAGACTGGTTTGGTAGAACTGTTTGTTACGTAGTTCAGAGAACTGATAAATCAGGCCTTTGGCTGGCCCTGCTACTCTCCACCTGCTTCTCTGCTCCCTGCCCAGTTGGTCCCTATCACACATGCGCAACATCGTGCACATGTGTGACATGCCTGCAGCCTGCTTTTGCCCGCCTGCCAGGCCAGCCATTGCTGCCTGCCTCCAACTGAGCAGCCCTGATCTGCCTGCTCACAGGTAAGCTTGCAAGTCATGCTAGCTCTTCCCCCACTGTTCCCAAGCCTCCCCGGGCCTCACCCAGCCATCTCCGGGGCTGGGCAAGGCACCCCTTGATGTGGGTGGGGAGGGGCCAGGTGAGGCACTCCTTGATGTGAGTGACATTGAGTTTGCCCCACCCACCCTGTCACATGGCCACCAGGCCATGCCCACCCAGTCACATGACCACCAAGCCACATCCACAATTAGGCCACGCCTCAGAACCAATTGTTAAGAAATTTGAATCCTACCCCTGGGTGTTTTTGCTCCCAGAAGGCTTCCCTAGGGCTCAGGAAGGCAGAAAACTGAGCTGGGGGGGGGGGCATGCAGCCATCCACACTTTGTTTTGAGGCCTTCTGTGCCATAGGAAAGCCTCCTGGGGAACATTTTTGCTCCCAGAAGGCTTCCCTGGGGCTCAGGAAGGCAGAAAACTGAGCTGGGGGCACCCCCCCATGCTTCATTTTGGGCCTCCCTGGGGCCCAGGAAGGCAAAAAATGGAGGGGGAGCAAGAGGGATTTTTTTTTTTTTTTGCCTTCCTGGGCCTCAGGGAAGTCTCCTGGGCAAAGCAACAAGTAAGCGAGGGGAATCCCGGCACAGCTGATCATAGGAACAGCTGATTGTCGGGAGGGGGAAAAAAGAAATACCTTAAGGAGTGACTGGGTAGGCTAGCATCAGGTGGGCGGGGTGAATGAGCACTGGGGTGGGGCAAGTGAGTGAGCGGCAACTGGGGACCAGGTTGGGGGCATTGGCCAGCCAGAAGTTACTACCAGTTCAGTGACCCGTGCCAAATCCTTGCTACCGGTTCGTTTGAAGCGGTGCAAACCAGCTGAATACCACCACTGATCTATATCTATAAGGTTGAACGCATTAAAACACACATATTTGGAGGCATAATTAACAGCTTTCAAATAAAAATTTCCTACTTGCATTTTCCTACCTTTTTCTTCACACAATCTGTGGTTGTTAAAAGAGATCTTTCTCACAAGCACAGTGGTCATAAATTGTCTGAAGCCTAGTAAGAATGCAATTTCTTTTTAATTAAAAAAAACAATAGAAGAGTACAGAGGTTTAGGGAAAGAAAAATAGTAATTAGGAAAAAACATCTAATTATTGCTACCTTTCAAGCTGGGGCTGTTTGCCTGTTAGGCTGTTGTTATAGCCACCATGCTAGGATTGCAATTGCAATTCTGTAACAGAATCTGCTATAGGCTTGATTTAAGAATAAAAAGCGTAAATGAAATGAATGGGGCAGTCAATCTAAATACAGAGGTTACAATTTGAAGATGTGAAGAATTCAATTCCCAGAATTTCCCAGCCAGCATCCAGGCTGAAGAATTCTGTAAGGTGAAGTCCACACATCTTCAACTTGCCAGCATTAGGAACACTGTTTTAGAGGAAAGCAAAGTGCAGTCAGCAAACTAAACAGGAACACACAATTGGGGGTCCCCTTCCCAGTGTGTGTGTGAGTGAGCACTGGGCAACATATCCATTCCTGCCCTCCAAAATTATTGCTTGTCTGAACTGGTGACCAATGAACCTGGCAGTCTAGTCAAACCTTTAATTATTAATTTGTTTAGTTATGAGTTATATTATCTCTTAAAATTATTTGTTTACCTCTCTTCATCTTAATGTATTAATTAATGAAAACAAATGAATACTATACACTGGACTAGAGTGAGTTTTCCTGAGACTTAGTATTGGTTTATTTAATTTAACTAGTCATTTAAAAGATTTCAATCTTCTGGTTCCTAGAGCAGTGGACTAAAAGGGCAAGAAACAAAATTACAGAGATAGTGCATTGTATCATGGAAGGGATCAACTGAGCAGTTGAGTCTGATCCCTGCCTTTGAGTTTATGGGAAGAATATTGGAAGAACTTTGCAAAGCCCTATTGTAAACGTAAAGATTTTATTTTGCCAGATAAGGTAATAAGGAAGGCAAAACACAAGCTCATATTGGGTTATTTATTTCTGTAGTTGAACCTGTCCAAATCCACAACAAGCTATTAAAGGCAGGTGCAGGAACATCTGACAAGGTTGAAGTGCCAACTGATCTGAAGAAGAATATTAACGCTTTCAAGAAATGTAACAAAAAATAATAATGCCTCCTTTCTTCATTTGTAGTTTGTTTATGGCGATAATCAATCACCCAACACGGTGATTACGCAAATGACTTTCCTGCGCTTACTCTCCAAAGAGGCCTCTCAGAATATTACCTATCATTGCAAAAACAGTATAGGTTACATGGATGACCAAGCTAAGAACCTGAAGAAGGCTGTGGTGCTGAAGGGAGCCAATGACCATGATATCCGAGCTGAAGGAAACAACCGTTTTAGATACACTGTCATTTCTGACACTTGCTCTGTAAGTCTTTTTAGAGTGAATTAACTTGGGGCATAAACTATTTAGAGTGTGTGTGTGGCTACTCAATTGTTTCTCATGAGGAAAAAAATAATCACAGCTCTGAATTCCAAATTAATTTATAGCAGTAGCCAGAGCTGGGAACCACCAGAGCTGATTTCTCTTTATAAATTGCAGCTATATCCTTGAGCAGATAGAAAGACCCTAGGTGGATACAGGCTATCAGGACTGAAAGAGAGAGGAAACATCTTGATTTGTTGTTGTGGTATCCAGCGAAAGGATTGTAGTACTATCCTAATATATCTAATGTATTCTGATATTTATCTACTGTTAACCAAAGTGTAAGCAGGATTACATACCTCCCAAATCACTGTATATACAAAGGGTCTGAATTGGAGTGATGCTTATTAATGAGCTCTTTCATAGAATGTAATAATTAGCCTGCTCTCATTTTCTTATTGATATTTAAGGAATCCAGCTGATAACCTTATGTTTCTCTTTTGATTTGTTCTTCCAGAAACACAATGGGAATGTGGGCAGCACAATCTTCGAATACAAAACACAGAATGTGGCACGGTTACCTATCATTGATATTGCCCTAGTAGATGTTGGAGGTGCAGACCAAGAATTTGGAGTAGAGATTGGACCAGTTTGTTTTGTGTAAAAAAGTAAAGAAGCAAATAAGTAAATACTTAAATAAATAAATAAATGGGCTTATCTTTTCAAAAGCATTGGGGATGACAGCAGCAGCAACAGAACGCAAGAACTTAGACTGAGTGAAGTTAATCCTGAGACTCTTGAAATTACGGCTGATATTACAATCAGCATTGTATATAACAGTTCCTTCTAACTCCTTGGCCTTCTTTAGTGTATTTATTTTACTTACCAATCTTCAGTCTCACTGTCTAAGTCAACATTTTAATGAAGTAAATCCTATTTTAAAATGACAAGTGACCACACCTGTATCTAAAATAATTCAAAACTAATCTTTGTTTCCTAATTAGAAAAGGTAATCATGATTTCTGGAGATTCTGCTCAACTTTAAAAAGTGTAATTCATATAATAGAAGTATGCTGAACAGCAATAGGAAATAAGTAAAAGATTCAGATGTTCACCATATCAAAATTACCAGTCCATTAATGCAGCGCCATAGGGTACCTCCACAGTCAGTCATGGCCCTGTGTTCAAAATGTTGTGGTATCTGTTTGAATCCATACTGTTCTGTTTGTCAACTGAGCCACTTTGTTTATAGCTCAGCAGTTGTGAATTTCAAATCATAGTTGAAACAATTTCCCTTTTGATATGCCGAGGTTTTGAAGAGTGGCTTCCCTTTGGTGGCATCACCCCAGCTCTGAACTCATCCAGTCTTTTCCAATAGAGGTTCAGCCACTGTGACATCTTAACAAAACATTATTATCTTACTTTAAAATACAACAGAGGGACAATGCACAGCTCTTCCCCAAGAAACCATTATGATATGGAGAAATGCAGACAACATGACATTCAGAAGTGTTGGAGCATTGTTTGAATATCCTATTTTGCTGCCTGATCAAATAGACAGTACAGAGACTAGCTCAGGAATAGCTCATGGTTTCAAGACCAGAAGTGGTGAGAAGGATTCATGGGTCAGCTTCAAATAGATTATTGAGAACTTGGAAATGAAAATGGTGGCAAAAATCCATAGATTGCAACAACAAAGTGATCTTCGTACTGTCTTTTTAGAAGGAAATCCTACTGAGTTCAGTGATCTTTGTTCCTGGATAAGTAGATATATGTTTGCCAGGCAGTAGATGCTAGAAGATGGCTACATTCTTCAGGAAGATCATTATTCATATAATTGAAACCACTGGCTAAAAGTGTATTCTGCAATCAGTCATAGCAGATAATGAAAGTGAATCAGTCTTCCTCAACATGATGCACTCCAATTGTGTTGGATGTTAAATCCTTTAATTCAGTAATCAGCATTGGTGATCATGGAAACTAAACATCTGGACAAAAGTTTGGAAAAAAATTGAAGAAGACAATATTTATGTTTTTAATGTTTTAATTATAAGGTTCCCAGAGCTCAGAGTATGTTATCTCACTCAATAAATTTATAATCCCCCAAAATTATTTTCCAAAATAAGTTTCAGAGACAACACTTAAATATTTTGTTTGTGGAAAGGATTAGTTGTTGACTTAATGAGCAGAAAACCTTTAGTGAACAATTATTTCTTGAAAGTAATAATCTGTAGAGTATTACATTTTGTATGTGGTCAAAAATGAAATTTCTAAATGACTTCAGGTAACATCAGAATTCCCCTAATGTAGCCTTTCTCTATCTGAGCATCTTCTAAGTAAATTTGGTTCCACTCTGAGAATTCCCAAGCCAACAGGGTCATTATTAAGAATTTTGATAGTTGGAGTGGACATAACGTAGAGATCATGGAAGGCTGCTACAATTTCTTCAAGTGTATTGTCCAATTATGTGTGTGTATCATTTATTCCCATGTATTAATCCCAAATCAGGTATTAACATAAATATTAGAGTTTTACTGTGGCTGAAAGAAATGTTTCATTCAATAACTGGTCATGCATTATCAGAAATTGTGACATTGCATGTCTTGATTTATTAGGACAAACCAATGGTCCATCATTTCTTAGCATGAGCTACCTCATCTCTAGAAGCTGGGATGCATTTAATAATCTAGTGTTAATTCTAGATACAACAAGGTGCTATGCTTCTGTTATAATTCCAAGTATGGAGATACACAGGGCAACATAATAATGAAGTAATAATTAAAATGTTTTCTTTATGAAAAAGGGAATGGTGCTACAACAGTTTCTGTACAATCCTGGAAAAATAAATTTATTGTCATCAACCTTTTCTTTTTTTAATAGAATTTAATTACTATATTTTGGTGTCTGGGAAAAATTCTTATACATTGCGTTTTTCCTCTTATGGTTTTATGATCTACAGAACGGGGTGTTCATCACTGCATTTTTCTTTCCACGGAGCATGTGGCTACAAGACTAGTTCTTCAGTTGGCTTCTTTGTTGAAGACCTATGTTCTGTTTCTTGATTGTTTGCTTGTTTTTCTAAATAAACACATGCACACACACACAAACACACACAAAAGAAAAGCCATACGCATAGCTTTATTCATGTATCTTTGCAAAGCATTTAATTAAATACAAGTTTCATGTTGAGTAATGGCTTCCTTTGTGTATAGTCCTTCTGACAATTTAATCTATTTCTAGGGAAAGGCAACAGGATTCTGTGTGTGTGGACTGTGCATGGTAGAGTGTGTGTTTGCTATGTCATCTGTAAATTCAAAATGTAGCACCCAAAGCACTTAATAAATTAAATATTAAAGGGAATCTTGAGTGACAAGTGTTTGTGGTAGTGCTTTAAAAAGTCAAGATGAGTTATCCAAAATTATTTCTATCAATCACATACCTGGAAGCTTAGGATTTGACAAGTCTGGCTTTAGAACTCTGAAATTTAAGGTTTATCCATGTTGTTGAATAAAATATCATGATAAAACCAGTGTCTCAGTTTAAATCACACCATTTTAGGGAAGCCACATGAAAGGCATATGGGTTTTTCCCAAACTAGAAAACAATGCTTGAATTATGGTAGATTCAAAGGATTGTTCATCCACGAGCAGTTCTAGCATGTCAATATAAATGCTAAAACAACTGCATGCTGTGAACTGGAATGTTTGAAGGTTCATAGTGTCTGTTCTACAACTTAATTATATAAGAGCTGACAATCCAAGTTTACAAATCATGTCTTAGCATAATCATAGTTTGTTAAATAATCCATAAGTGACTGAATTACACATCGTACCAAGCAGTTAACCATGTGTTATAATGACAAGGTTAGCACAATATGTTAAAATAAAATTTTAAATAAGCCACATTATAATTTGATGTGATGTAACAATCCAGGCACTAAGAATTCAGGATGATGATAGGATTTCTACCTATTTCTACCTACCTAAGGATTCATGGGTCAGCTTCAAATAGATTATTGATCTATTTGACATAGATCTATCTATGTTGATCTGAGGTTCTTTATGAAATGATACTATTTTATGACCACAAGCTCAACATTGAATTCCCTGCATTATTTCTTCTTATAATTATTTATGGAATAAAAACAGCACACAGCTGTTCCATGCTAATGAAAAGGCCACTTGGTCATTCTTTCCTTCTGCTGTCATTGCTTATAGAGTGAACAAAAAGCCAAACAAAACCATTAAGAGTTCCTAGGTAGCCTCTTGTATAATGGAAAAGATTTTGTTCTGAAAGCAGCTGCAAAACAAAGGCTACAACTCATTCAATTTGATCTCCTTGCGTATGTAGGAGGTGTCAAAAATTGGGAAGATTTAAACATGCTTTTAATGGGAGAATCTATTGAGAAATGCGTAACTTCTTTATCAGATTCAATCCCTTGTAATTAAGCTCCTTTTACTCTTCCATACCTATTCTCAGATAGAACACGGGGTAAAGAATTAAGGTATGGTTATGATACAAGCACCTGTGATGAGATCAGTGTGGTCTAGGGCAGGGGTGGGATTCAAATTTCTTAACAACCAGTTCTGTGGACATGGCCTAATTTGTAGGTGTGGCTTGGTGGTCATGCGACTGGGGTGGGAGTGGCTTGCTGACTGGGCATGGCTAGGTGGTCATGTGATGGGTGGGCGTGGCCAGGTGGCCATGTGACTGGCAAACCAAATGTAAGTGGTCCTCGCTTAATGACCAGGTCCTCACTTAATGGCCAGTTGCTTAGCAAGTGTTCTAATTTACAACTGACCTTCACAGAGCTACTTGGCCTGGTTTTGGTGTTTTGACAGACACACACACACACACACACACACACACACTTCTAACCATGCTATTCTTTGATTCTGTAAGGATCTGCTGGAGCAGGGGGTTGGACTAGATGACCTCCAAGATCCCTTGCAGGCCAACCCTAGATTGCTGTGCTGCTTCAAAGTCTTCTGAAGCCAGGGTTTATGTCCTTCTCCTTTTTTTCCCTCTCCCTCCCTCTCTCCTTCCATGTATTTATCTATCCATCCATATATCTCATTTACTTTCTCATCTCTCCCTCCCTCGCTCCCTCTTTCCTTCCTTCCTTCCTTCCTTCCTTCCTTCCTTCCTTCCTTCCTTCCTTCCTTCCTTCCTT